GATCATTATTTAATGTGTAGTTTGCAATATATATGTATTTTTTTTTTTTGCTTTCATTATTGCTGTATTCAATTTTTTTTCCCTCTCTTCTCTTCTCTTTGGCACAAGTGTTTTGTTTTTGATTTTTCTCTGTTTTTCTCTTGTTTTTTCTTTTTAGTTTTGTCACAGAAGAAAAACAAGTGGGGGAGTGTGGAGTGTTGATCATTATTTAATGTGTAGTTTGCAATATATATATATATATATATATATATATATATAGTTAATACAATGCTAAACAAAAATCTGCACACCAGTCAAGCCATAAGACTTGCTTTTCCCACAGAAATCCCAAATCAGCAGTGATGTTACAACCGCAAAGGATTCTGGGTGGGCATATGCAAATTAGTTTAACAAAGAATCACATTTTTGCCTCATTCCATTTTAAACATGGATTCCTTTTAATTTGTGTTTGCAGTATACAACTGCTTGGAACACAATTTAGGATAAGATGCAAAACCAGTGTTGTATACTGCAAACACAAATTAAAAGGAATCCATGTTTAAAATGGAATGAGGCAAAAATGTGATTCTTTGTTAAACTAATTTGCATATGCCCACCCAGAATCCTTTGCGGTTGTAACATCACTGCTGATTTGGGATTTCTGTGGGAAAAGCAAGTCTTATGGCTTGACTGGTGTGCAGATTTTTGTTTAGCATTGTATTAACTATCCACATACTTCAGGTGGAAGGGGTTTTCAATCACAATTTTTCCCCACCATAATCTATTTATATATATATATATATATATATATATATATATATATATATATATATATATATATATATATATATATATATATTATATGGTATGGTGCATATATATATCTAATATAAATGCACATTTATCTATATAAAATAGGTGTATGAAATATTGCAGGCCTTTTTGCTTAGATTTGAAAAAGTTAAATTTTCAATGACATTTCCACAAGGTTAACAGCTAAAAGGTTGAAGTTAAATTAGAACAAACACATGTGTTATCAGTCAAATGTATACAAAACACTTCACTTAATTTTGAAGCTAACTATAGCCAGAGCCATCTAGGGTATATCCCAAACTTAGATATTCAATACATTACATCATGCAACAAGTTAGAAAACCTTTTTGGGAGTATTACACAGGTGGGGGTTGCTTTATGGAGGACAAAATGGCTATTTAACTGAAGGAGAGAGTGTGATGTTGTCATTCATTCATTCTTTCATCTACTCTTACTCTGCCTGCTGTCACCACACATCTGAAAGCTATACAGGGACATATGCTGTAGCCACTAATACATTTGGTAAGATTAATTATTTACTGACTATTTTTGCATTCTGTAACATTCATTCAATACACTTTTATCTTATATTTATTTGAGTCATTGTTTCATTTATTACAATATTATTACAGTGCCTTTTGGGTCTTCAGACACTGGATTATTTTAGTGATAGTCAAGTTATCTAGAATGGTTAAGGAAAACGGTATTTATAAGTAATTTGGGAACGGAAGGATCTGCTCCGTATACAGCTATAGATTGCATAAAGACACACTAAGCTTAGAATGACCCGGAGTGGCCTTTTGTCGGTAAAGGTCCACATCATACCTGAAGCGAGCCATAACTATCAATATTGAAGGATCACCGAAAACCGACATTCTGGAGGCCTCGTCCTTGGGTGGTTTAGTCGTGTCTTTTGCAGTGGAGAACACGGTGTACTCAGTTGTTGGAAGGATCCTCGTTTTGTAAGTATGTCTTTCTTTAAGTTTCCAAATAGGATAGGTAATCTTGAATCTAGATCATGTGAGCCTATTGATTTAAATACTGAACAGAGATCCGTTAATTCCCCTGTTTTGTTTACTTTCCCTTCTGTGTTTCAAGAATTTATAAAATGTTGGATTAAAAAATATGGAAGTCCATTTAAGTTGGGCGAAAATATAAGTGATGAGCTGTTTCTAGAGGACATTTTTCGAGTATTACCCTCAATAATGCAGCTTAAAGATGACAAAGTAAAAAAGGGTAGAAGTTTGCAAGCTTTACTAGATATGCTAATGATGTCCCTTCAAATGATTGAACAGTTGCAAGTTAGTTTTAATCTGCAAGCTTCTCTTATTGATACGCTGCATGTACAATTAGAAGATTACCGCACCCAGGCACAAAATGGAGCTCACACTGTTGGATTCTTACAAGATAAAGTTCATAATTTAGAATCCAAAAATATAATCCTTGATCAAGCTGTAAACACCTTACAATGCCTGCGTACTAAGCACTCTCCTTCTTTCAAACTTGGAGGTAAGGCTCGGGGAAGTGCTATATTTAAAAAATCCCCTGTTGCTCATGAAAACAAATGGTATCAGATCGCCACCTTGTTAGTCGATCTTCCTTCTGCTTTAATTAATGAAGATGACGTTGCTATGTGGATGGAGCATAAAAATGAAAATATTGAGTTTCCTTCACAAACAATTTCTGTCCCCTCTGCTCCTCCCACGTATACACATTTGTATCCAGAATTGCCAATTGTTCCTTGTAATCCTATAACACGTGGTCCTCAATTAGAGGCTAACAAAGTGTTATCAGATGACAAATTGAAGGAAATTTCTGCACATCATGCTAGAATAGAAAAAGAATATAATGATATGGAAATGACTTTACATAATGTAAAACAATCATTTTCACATTGACACCAGCAGAGACGAGACTTAGAAGCAGAATTGTCTGAGGCTGCACGACTATTAACTGAGACTAAAACTAACCTTGAACGTTTTAGGCTTGACAATGACGAGTTACAACGGGTAAATGACAAACTTAAGGCTACTACTAAAAACAGGAAAAGACTACTAGCATATTGCATGATACTACACAAGACCTTAAGACTGCTAACAAACAACTGCAAAGTGACCTTATAGAGGCTAAAACTAAACATGTTATTTCTGATCCTGTTAATGTACACATGACAGCACCTTCTTCTGTGAAAGCGACCGAAGCCAGGGCTATCTTATCTGAAATAGGGCAAGCTCCTATAAATAAGGGTACTATTGAGGATTTCAATAGATTCACACATTGGATCGGAAAACTCCTTCGCTGGGGTTCTTCGGATTCACAATTAATAGAGATTTTTCTGAAAGGTCTGGGATCCTGTTCAGCTGTCATAGAAGGTTTTGCACAAACATTTTCTCAGCTGTTAGAACTATTTCATTTGTCTAGTCTGTTCCAGATTAACAAAGCTTTTATCTCACTTCCTAATGAGTCTATCACATAAACTGCTAACAGAGTAATTGTTTTCCTTGCTGCTCTTACTAATGGGGCTACTTCTTCAGAAAAACATTCTGAAATACAAGCTGACCTTAAATTAGATACAACATTCTGTTGAGTTACTTAGAAAACAAGTAGAGCAAGCTAATTTAACGCCTGTTGCAACTCTAACAACTTCCCTTCCACCCCTCTCCTCCTGCTAGGAATGTGTTTTCTCCTCTCCTCTTTGTCTCGACTGGCCTCTGGATCTAGATAAATGGGTACGACCAATGTGTACTATGTTGGTAGATGGGGAGAAAATTAACACTCTAATCGATACAGGGGCAGCTGCTACACTAATATCTGGTACACCAAAAACTGGCAAATTTACTACTGCTTGCATTGTGGGGGTTACTGGCATGCCAAAAACAGTGTATGTTGAACCTAGGACATTGAAGATTGGCTCTAAGACTATACGTTCTGATATGTTTTTGGAAAAAGATGCGTTATCTCTGTTGGGAGCTCCAGATATTGTAAAGTTTGGGTTTATCATTGATTTAATGAATCACATGCTTTGGAATATTGAGGGGAGTACTAGCCCTTCTGAGCATACTCGGATCGGTTTAGGCTCCAATTTGCCTCCTGTGCATGTTGTCTATCCACATGAGGGTATTAAAATCAAACACCCTCCTGTGGATACAGAATCTTGGTGGCATGAATATGCCGATGTATGGGCCAAAGATAGTCTAGATTGTGGTAAATCACAATTAATGGTTTCTTTGGATGGTTCACACCACCCATATGTTAAACAGTATCCAATTCCACGTGAGGCAGAAAAGGATTTAGAAGTTATCATTGACCAATTGCTACAGCGTGGGTTAATTCGACCATGCCAAACTGGAGGTTCGAGTCCTGTGTGGCCTATTCGTAAAAAAGACATCACTTGGTGTTTAACCATTGACTACAGACGACTAAATGAGACAGTTTTTAGAACAGCACCTGTTGTGGCCTCTTACCCTGAACCGATTGCTAAATTAACTCCTGAAATGCAGTATTACACAGTGTTAGATCTTGCAAATGGGTTTTATAGTGTACAAGTCACTCCTGAAACTCAGTATCGTACTGCATTTTCTTTTCAGTCTAAACAGTATTGCTGGACAGTTCTTCCTCAAGGTTACTGTGATAGCCCTGCAATTTTTCACAGCATGTTAGCACAAGCTCTAAAGTCTCATAATTTGCATAACAAAATTGTTCAGTATGTTGATGACTTGTTAATAGCAAATGATTCCAGAGAGAGTAACATTAAACTGTTAAAAAAGGTTTTGGAATCCCTTAAAAAGCATGGCTTGAAACTTTACCCTGACAAGTGTCAGTTGGTCTAACAGAAGGTTAACTACCTCGGATTGGAACTTGGTCCAACAGGCAGAAGTATTCTTGAGGATAGGGTTAAACATATTCTTTACCTACCAAGACCTGTAGATGTGAAATCTTTACAGCAGTTTCTTGGGCTTACAAGATTTTGCAGAGAATGTGTTGCTAATTATGCTTTGCTTGCAGAACCATTATATGACCTACTGAAACAAAACAAATTTGAATGGAATGATTCACACACACAGACATTTTCCTCCCTCAAATCTGCATTAGCTAGTGCACCCGTTTTGGGCACTCCAGCATCAGACAAACCATTTTATTTATACTCTTGTGTGTCTGATACAACACTTGGTGCAGTAGTGGCCCAATACCATGGTGATATACTAGCGCCTATTGCATACTTAAGTCGCAAAATGACATCACCTGAATTGAAATTTGGTCCTTGTGAAAAAATTGCCCTAGCTACATACTGGACCATACAAAGACTGAGAGATCTTCTCAGCGGTCAGCACATTGTGATTCGTTCACATCATAATCTCCTGCTTTTGCTGAAAAAACATAATTTGGCTTTAAGTGACATTCGTAATGAACGTGTGGTGAGATGGATGACTACGCTGCTCACTGAACACATTACAGTGGAACCGTTAAAGGAACCCTCTATACATGTGTTGGGTGTTCTTATTCAAGGTCAGGATCATGTATGTCATCATATGATTGCTCCTAAAGCACATTCTGTTTTCAAAGAGGGCAGCCCTGCTGATGTGGGAAATAACCCTGTTTGGTACATTGATGCTAGTTCATCAGTCATCGATGGTAAGCGCATGACAGGTTTTGCAGGTGTACTTCTTGAAGGTAGAACGATTCTTGATTGGTTTCAGTATGCTTGTAAAAATGCAGGAGCACAGTTTGCTGAATTAGCTGCACTACTAACTTTGATCCGAGACAAAATTGGGAAAGGTGGTACACACTTTGTAGTCACTGACTCTATGTATGTTTTCAGAGGAGCTTTGATTCTTCTTACGTTTTGGGTCAACAATAAATGGCAGTCCACTGATGGCAGTATAGTACAGCACAAAGGCTTATGGGAACGCATACAGGATTTGTCAAAAGATCATGTAGGCTTTATCAAACTCGTCAAGGTAAAAGCACACAGATCTAAGGGACCTTTGGCATACGGTAATAGTCTTGCTGATAAATTTGCAAAAGAGGCTGCATGTCTTCCTGATATTCCACTATGGGAAGAGGAAGATGTATTGTATCATACACCACTTGCACCAGTGCAGTTGTATGCCCCTGACGATGATGGCACACAATGGTCTGTACTTCGAGAACATCAGGAGTACGATTTGGTACTCGCTCCTCTTTTTGATGACCTGGCATATAAGTTAGGTAAAGAAACACTGAAAATTCTGCATGACATTTTAGTCAAATACACTGAACATGGTCCTGCCTGGGTTATTCCCTCTCATTTGGTAAAATGTTTGCTGGCTTGGGTACATGGTTCCATTGCAGGGGGACATCCCAAATTACAAGAATGTATGGATAGGATGTCTAAACTGGGATGGTGGCCTACTATGAGAAGAGATATCCAAGATCACATTGACAGATGTATTGTTTGTGCACACCAAGATCCAGCAAGACAACTAACACGTGGAGCACTAATGCGATATGCTCCTACTGGACCTTGGGACAGACTACAGGTTGACTATGTAGGTACACGGCCATTGACAGCCTGTAAAAATCGCTACATATTGGTAGTCGTTGACTCTTTTAGTCGATGGATTGAAGCTTTTGCTACCCCTAACAAAACAGCTGGCGCAACTGCCAAAATCCTAGTGCAAAATGTTTTCTGTCACTTTGGGATTCCAAAACAAATGGATTCAGATAATGGCGGTGAATTTGTCAATACCATCCTGAAAGAGATCACAAGTTGGTTAGATCTCCCTTGGGATTTCCATATTGCTTATCACCCTCAAAGTGGAGGCATGGTTGAAAGGATGAATGGCCAGATAAAAAAGGAACTAAGCAAAATCTGTAATGCCAATGGTAAAAATTGGGATATTTTACTGCCTTTTGTTCTTGCTTGGATGAGATCTAGAGTTAACAGGCATATTCAGATGTCTCCTTATGAAGTACTTTTTGGTCGCAGTATGCCTTCATGGGAACGCCTTTTGCTTCATATGGATATATCTACCTCTGTAGCATTATGCAATGAAGAATGGGCCAAAGAACATTCTCTATGGCTCACCACTGTACAAGGACAGGCACTGCACACAGATGTGGTGTCCGCCTTAAAAAGTAAAAGTGATTTTGATAAAAAATCTGACCTCACTGAATACCAAGTGGGAGATTCTGTGTGCATGCTTAAACAAGGACAAAAAAACCCTAGGAAATTTCCTAAAGATTGCTGGGAAGGTCCATATCTTATTGTGGACAAAGTGGGACCCTCAGTTTATCTTATTCAAAAATCAGATGGTTTAAATGTCTACAAGCATGCAATGCAGCTTAAATTGTTTAAGGGCTCTATATTTACTTTGTTATTCTATATTTACTTTGTTTTTCAGAAAGTGTACAAAGAGATTGAGACTCTAGAACGGCTGTTCCAGACTCTACTTTTCACTATGAATGATCGGCGCCTTTACATCTAAGCTTCATTTGAAAAAAAAAAAAAAGAAGGTCCTTCCGGATGTTCAAAACTAGCTTTGGCTAGACTACTTTCTGCACGTATTGCATGTTTTCTTAGTGTGATGCTTTCACTTTGTATGTTATTTACTAATAATAAATAGTAACGTCTTGTAACAATCTCTTTATCCACATTTTTACATGTTATATTTGAAGTTTGGTGCCATTAATTTACAGTTTGATCATAACTAATTATTTTGTTGGTTTTCATAATCTACAAATTAGACTATGGCATCTTGGACATGTTTGGTGGGATGCGTTACAGTGATTTGTTTGCTCTATACCTTTACTAACATTTGGCATCCAGATAATCATAATCTGCAGAAGCGTCTTGTCACTTCTTATGAAGTGCTTGCTCCTTTTAAACCTATATATTTAGTCTCACACCCTACTACCAGCATTGACCTTATCTTTTTCTTATTGTCTAACTTTCAGTGTAATAGTGTTAGATCTAACCGTCCCATATATCATATTTCTCATAGTTCTGCATCCCCAGTATTTGTTGCACTTTTTATTGCTAGTGTTCCAAAATTTGACTATGCTCAGCTATGGCTTCTTAATAAAACCCATCTTCTGATTCCAGAATATGGTGCACTTCTGTATCTTGATAAGAATATTTGTTTGATATGCAGTATTGATTTGCAATCCGCTACTTCTGGCATTTTTCATAATTCTAACAGTCGCCCTATGGCTAACCTGGATAATCTTAATACCTGTGGAAGTCTAGAAGTCCAGGACTCTAATTCTGTTGTGATGCCTGCAACTATTTTGGTTAATACTTCCAACCCATCTGATTCTGTAGGTGAATGGCAATGTACAGACAATGGTATTCCACAGTTTATAGTTAGAATTGATGAAATGGCACAGCCTTCTACTCCTATAGCTTCTGTATCTCCCTCTACGCCTATACCAGAATCTACCACACCTCCATTTCAGGAAGGTGACCCTATTCAAGTTCGTTTGGACTCTGCTACACAAGTAGCATATGATGTTTCATATTGTTTGGTTACCTGGCACTTACAATTAAATAAATGGTTGGTTTCCACACAATATTCCAATTGTACGCTATTCATATCAGTACAAGAGCTTTTCAGTGGTGGTTTTTTGAAAGCATGTTGTATAATGTATCACTTCGATCACACCATCGCCCTAGACGAGATATTTTAGCTACTGGGTTAGGTACATATGGTAGTGTCGTGGGATCAGCTGCACAAATTAATTCGGAAATTCTAAGATATACATTTGCTTCTTTAGCCTCTCATACTTCTACGGGTCAGGATACCCAATATGGTATTAATACTAATATTGTTAAGCTTCAGCAGCATCAAACTCATGTTATGGTAGATACAACTGAGATTATTTCTGATAAGTTTCACACTCTGGTCGACTCAGTTTACAATTTTACTCGTGATACTGCATGGGCAATGCTATGTTCACAGGTTCAGGCTGATCTGTCTACCGATCTTAAACTTCAGTTGCAAAGTTTATGGTCAGGTAGATGGCCTGCTTCGTTGAGTCGTGCTGCTTCAAAATCTATGACTGACTTTGCGATGACTCATCTTTTGTGGTGGGAAGTTCTTCTATCTGACTGCTCACTTGAAAAATGTGCCATTCATACATTAATACCATGGGCAGGCAAAGATGCTATTATTTATCGTTTAGCTACAATTGGCCTACCGTCTAATGGGTGATTATTATTGCCTGAACTTCCACATCAATGGGTAGCCCAGGGTACGGATAGTTCTAACTGGACCCTTGTAGACATTTCTTTGTGTCACTCTAATGCTAATTCTTATATATGTTCTCCATCCCAATATAAAACTACTACTGAAACATGTTGGGTTAATCAGGATGAATGTAGTTTTCATGGTCAATTTAATGTTACAAATCCTGTCTACTACTTGGGGTTAGATCGTGTTTGTTTTCACTTATTTCAGCCTGATCAAATTATTTTTAAAACACTGGATAAATCTCTTCTCAGCACTCACTTATTGCCTGGCACTTGGTGTAATTCCATTCCTGTGTCTTACATTGCTTCTTCAGTATGGAACTTCACTATGCCTCAACTTACTAACATAAGTTTGGATTTATCATGGGAACGTATTGTTGATTTTTCCATGTCAGATTTGCCCCTAGGTATGGGTTCTGAGATGAAAAAATGGTTAACTGACTCAACATCAATTACGACATTGCTTAATTCATTAAAGAGTATTTTGCACCAAGCTCAAATTACTGTCACACATAAACAAGGGATTCTTAAACAAGTCTCTGTTGCTGTTAAGCAAGATGGCCAGACCTCATGGTGGGAATCTGTTTTGGGATACAGTAA